GAGCAACTAATGAATTGTTCAGTGTTACTTTTAATAGTAATTATTCTGGATTTTTCCAGATTTATCTCCAGTCTAAATGTAATCAGTTCTTAATACTGTACAGTTTTTAGTAACTCATGCAAATTGTGGCTTTCATCACTTTTAGCAATGCTTCAAACCTCTTTCTATATGAAATATTTGTATTTTTTATTTCATTTCATTATTTTATAGTACATTATTTCATTCCAATTATCAACCTAGCTGTACATAGAATATTACATTGCAACGTTTATGCATTTTTGTAGTTACTAATTATATTTATTTTAATTGTAGAGGATGTCTTTGGCCAAAGTTAAATAAGTAATTAAATTTTGCATATTATATATTTATAAACAGCATTGCTTATAGCATTAAATATTGTGTAGATGTATATGATTCAGCATTGTATGGCAAGTAAATGCACTGATTAAATGGTGTTCTTTTCTGGTACTGACTTGGCTTCATTTAACGTTGATGGAGATCCAGAGTAATCAACAATTAGTTATTGTTACTATAGGTCTGTTTATAATGTGATTTTTGTTGCGCTTTCCTTTTATTATCTACATTATTTTCCATTTTTAAACACATCCATAAACATCTTAATCGTTTTTCCTACTGTTCTTTTCAAGAAATAATGAACAAAAAATATGGTGCATGACTTAATTGTGTTAAATAACAATATAATTTGCAAGTCTTATCTATTATGTAAAGAGGTATGAAATAAACAATTTCCAAAGCAATTATGTGATTTAGAATAGAATTAACAGGTATCAATATGGGGAAAAAGAAACACCAGAGCCAACATGGGCACACTCTGCAAGAAAGTATAAGTACTACTTGTACAAGTACTAGTTGTAGTCAATAAATAGTCAAACCAGAAGGCAGAAAAACTAACGACTCTTATTTGCTGTTGAAGGAATAACGTATGCTGTCGAAATGTACCTAATCGAGACATCGTACAGATGTACTGTTAGAAAATTTGGCTGAAATAAAATGTCAATGACATTGAATGTTTATATTCGTAGTTTTCCTACTGAAGTATGAAAATATTTTTACGGAAATCACTAGTTAAGTTATGTGGGGGTGCAATGGCAACGGATTGGCTTTGTTGCGCTAGCTCCCAGATTCAGTACCTTCCAGTGCCAATTTTTGCTTGTGTTACTGGGCCTAACATTTCACTTGAAATACCTCATCCTTCAGAAGCTGTCTCTTATACACATCTAGATGTGTATAAGAGACAGCGACTATATTTAGGCATGTCACATGTTTTTG